AGAAACGCGGGGGGGGGGGGGGTGGTCCAGGGAGCGGGGAGTCCTTTGCAGCCCAAAGGTCCGTGATCTTTTATCAAGTCACCGAGGGAGCATCAAGAGAAGGAGGGGGGGGGATTTGTATGTCAGCAGCATGTGGAACATTCTTCGCCTCTCCCTGCTGAGCGTGTGCTTTGCAAATGTGGGGAGCCGAAAGGGGCGGGCGTCCTTTACAACCGAGGGTTGACTCCCTTGCAGTAAAAGGGGTGTGTGTGCGGTTGCATTAATAATGGGGAAATCTGGGAAATAATAAATCTGCTTTGCCCATTTTCAGAATCCCCTCCTGGATTTCTAGATTCCAGAATCCTTCTTTCCCTGCATTTTATCGCTCCCTCCCTCTCCGGGGAATATAGAAGAATTAATCAGCACCTTAAATCTTATGCAGGGGGCAGGTGCTCCCGGGGGCCAAAATCCCGATTCCAACGATCATCTTTGGAAGTAATTTCCAATGGGAAACTTTGGAAGTGTATTCAGAAAGGGCCAACATCAAAAGAAGCGACGCCGCAAGAATGTTTGAGACTAGCCCTTAAATACCCAAATATTATAGGTCTTTATCGCAGATTCTCAAATTCGTGACTTGGAGCTGAAGATTTTTTTAAAAATGTCACCGGAAACTGGCTACGCATGAAGTTGGCCTTGGCTAAGGCGTCCTCCCCCGCATGCACACACCTGTTGCTGCAAGGGACAGAAGTAGCAATGTAAATAATGGGGGCAGGTCTGGACCCGACCACCTTCAGGCCTCCCAGCTAGGTAACGACTTGCACCGTTTAAGATAGGAAAAGCTGACCCAGTTTAAAACACGGTCATCGCTTTCGCCTCTTTTGCATATGTTCTCTGCGATCGATCTTCTTCAACTTTAACAATGTAAAATTGCAGCCATAGATTTTTGCTTCAATAAATGCAAGTCACTAGTGAAACTGCAGCAGCAGAAGGAAGGGGGGGGGGGGGAGGACAGAGAAATATCTGTGTCGTAGCTCATACAACACACGTCAATTGCAGAAAACAAGTAAACAACGGGACATAGAATGAAAGGCAAATGTCTGTTTGAAACAGCTATTTCCTATTACCGTTGCTACAAAGTTTCAAGAAAAAAAGACAACATAAAATGTTACTAAACATGCACGCGATAGTTTATATTCCCGGACAAAAGCCAACAATGCATAGCGCATGCATAATCCATAGAGAACAAATTGTACAGAAAAAACTCACTCTCTTCTTCCCTTCCAGTGTAATCCTTCAGTGCGTACTCATACAATCCCCTGACAACAGAACAATATAGAAGTAAAGGGCGATTTTCGAGGGAATCCACCTGCTCTCCTTCAGTTCCTCTTTATATACTGCTGCGCAGGACTTTAGAGGCATGACAAGGCGCGGGATGGGGTGGCTGATGTGCACCGATGAAGAGACGGCTGTCACGCTTCCTGCGGGAAGATGAAGGA